CCTAGACAAATTAGAGGATTGGGCCAAAAGAAATCTGATGAGGTTCAACAAGTGCAGAGTCCTGCACTTAGGACGGAAGAATCCCATGCACTGCTACAGACTAGGGACCGAATCGCTAGGCAGCAGTTCTGCAGAAAAGGACCTAGGGGTTACAGTGGACGAGAAGCTGGATATAAGTCAACAGTGTGCCCTTGTTGCCAAGAAGGCTAACGGCATTCTGGGCTGTATAAGTAGGGGCATTGCCAGCAGATCGAGGGACGCGATCATTCCCATCTATTCGACATTGGTGAGGCCTCACCTGGAATACTGTGTCCAGTTTTGGGCCCCACACTACGAGAAGGATGTGGAAAAATTGGAAAGAGTCCAGCGAAGGGCAACAAAAATGATTAGGGGTCTGGAGCACATGACTTATGAGGAGAAGCTGAGGGAACTGGGATTGTTTAGTCTGCAGAAGAGAAGAATGAGGGGGGATGTGATAGCTGCTTTCAACTACCTGAAAGGGGGTTCCAAAGAGGATGGATCTAGACTGTTCTCAGTGGTGGCAGATGACAGAACAAGGAGTAATGGTCTCAAGTTGCAGTAGGGGAGGTCTAGGTTGGATATTAGGAAACACTTTTTTACTAGAAGGATGGTGAAGCCCTGGAATGGGTTACCTAGGGAGGTGGTGGAATCTCCTTCCTTAGAGGTTTTTAAGGTTGACAAAGCCCTGGCTGGGATGATTTAGTTGGGAATTGGTCCTGCTTTGAGCAGGGGGTTGGACTAGATGACCTCCTGAGGTCCCTTGCAACCCTGATATTTTATGATTCTATGATCCATTCCCTGTTGCCCATTCCCAGCCTCTGGCAAACAGGCCAGGGACACCATCCCTGCCCATCCTGGTTAATAGCCATTGATGGACCTATCCTCCATGAACTTATCTAGTCCTTTCTTGAACCCTGTTATAGTCTTGGCCTTCACAACATCCTCTGGCAAGGAGTTCCACCGGTTGCCTGTACGTTGTGTGAAAAAATACTTCCTTTTGTTTATTTTAAACCTGCTGCCTATTAATTTCATTTGGTGACCCCTAGTGCTTGTGTTATGTGACAGGATAAATAACACTTCCCTATTCACTTTCTCCACACCAGCCATGATTGTACAGACCTCTGTCATATCCCCCCTTGGTCGTCCCTTTTCCAGCTGAGCAGCCCTGTCCACTCTCTCCGCAGAGGGAAGCTGGTCCATCCCCCCCACGTGGTTGTTGCCTGTCTCTGCCCCGGTTGCGGTTCTGACACACACGTGCCCTGCGCCCAGGAGTCAGGTCTGGAGCGCGTCCTGCAGATGGAGGGGCCGGGGCGTGGGCTGCAGACCCAGGGGCCCCGGGGCGTGGGCTGCAGACCCAGGGGCCCCGGGGCGTGGGCTGCAGACCCAGGGGCCCCGGGGCGTGGGCTGCAGACGGAGGGTCGGGGAGGGGGCTGCAGACGGGGGGGCTGGGGCGCGGGCTGTAGACAGGGGGGCCGGGGAGTGGGCTGCAGACAGGGGGGCCGGGGAGCGGGCTGCAGACCCAGGGGCCCCAGGGAGCAGGCTGCAGACAGAGGGGCTGGGGAGGGGGCTGCAGATGGAGGGGCCGGGGCGCGTCCTGCAGACGGAGGGGCTGGGGAGGGGGCTGCAGACCCAGGGGCCCTGGGGAGCGGGCTGCAGACAGGGGGGCTGGGGAAGGGGCTGCAGACCCAGGGGCCCCGGGAGCGGGCTGCAGACGGAGGGGCCGGGGCGCGTCCTGCAGACGGACGGGCCGGGGAGGGGGCTGCAGACCCAGGGGCCGGGGAGGGGGCTGCAGATAGGGGGGCCGGGGCGTGGGCTGCAGGGTCTCTGTGCGGCTGGGCCGGCTCACCGTCGAGTGGCTCTGCTGCCATCTGGTGGCTACTGCGGGCATGTCACTGTAACCAGGCTGGGTGAGAGCAGGGGCGTGCACAGGAATTAAAATGTGGCTGCTTTTGGAGGGGCACAAAAGTGGGGGGCCAAGGCCCCCCCCCGCCCAAGACCCTGACCCTGGCCAAGCCAGAAGCTGGAGCAGGCTGAGAGCTGCGGACCCTCCACCTGCCCAGGGAATAACTGTGTCACTAGGCAGTTTGGACTCTCAAGGGCAAGGTTTTCTAGCTATAAGCAAGAGACCCCCAGTGTTTTGCCAGAGTTAGCCCGAAGGGACACACAGAGTTTGCTTATTATAGACGCTCCTATTGCCTTTTGAAACCTACGATTGTAACTCATTTGTGTGTTTGTGTTTCCCCGGTTTAACCTTGTAAATAACTCGTTTCCTTTTCCTAGTTAATAAATCCTAATTAATCCTGGTTAATTAACCTAATTAATAAATCTTCAGATTGTTTACTATGGGATTGGCTACAAGCGCTGTCTGTGGGGGAGCTCTAAGGTGCGGCTGACCTGGGGAAGTGACTGGCCCTCTGGGCTGGGGAGTGACCTGAGTGTTGCTGTGATTTTTGGTGTAAGAGGCACCTCTCGCAAAGGCAGGTGTGCGTAGGCGGCGAGAGAGACGGGGGCCCCAGGGACTGTCTGACTCCATGGTCAGGCTGTTACCAAGCCTGAGGATTTCACACGGCTGGTGGATCTAAGTACAGAACTCACAGCTTGTGTGCACTTTGTGCCCTGCCCCGAGGGTGGCACAGTGCTCTGGCCCCCGCAGGACAGCTTGGCATGTGCATTGCTGTGTGTTGCTGCAGAGCCGGACCTGCGCAAGCAGCCAGTGCTCTGTGCAGCAACTTGGGAGCGGGGGCTCTACGGGGGCTCAGACAATCTGAACGAAGCGGCAGCTGTGCCCCTCGGGGTGCTGCCATCCTCCCGGCCCTCCCTGCCCTCTCGCCTTGCTGCACGTAGCTCTGAGTGTTGTGCCTGGTCCTGCCCCGGCAGCTAGCCGTGTGCTGCGGGCACCGCTCGGGCAGCCATCACAGCGCCCCAGGAGTGCAGGCCACGGGCAGCTGCATGGGGCGGGAGCCTGGGAAGGACGGAGAGGTCAGAGTGGGCCGTCAGCTGAACAGGAGTCCTGGGCCATGCTGAGGCACACGGGGCCAGTGTGATCCGGGATGTGTGCACAGGAGCAGGGTGGGATTGGTACCTCTGCGCATTCATGCGTCCAGCACAGCTGCGAACTGGGGAACGGCTGGCTCGGTGGTAGCCAGCGGGAAAGGATCTGGGGGTTCTAGTGGCTCACAAATGGAATATGACCCAACGTGATGTAGCTGTGAACATGGTTCCTGTCGTTCTGGGGCGTATTAACGGGAGTGTCGTGTGTACGACACGGGAGGTCATTGTCCTGCTCTGCTCAGCACGGGTGAGGCCCCAGCTGGAGTCCTGGGTCCAGTTCTGGGCACTGCGCTTCAGGAAAGATGTGCACAAACTGGAGAGAGGCCAGGGGAGAGCGACAAAATGATGGAAGGTTGGAAAACCGGACGCTGAGGGAAGGTGAAAAGACGGGGCGTTTAGTCTGGAGAACAGCGGCGGTGCGTGGGTGTAGCCGGGCCCATGGGAGGCTGTAGCCAGCGGCGGCGCGGGGACGTAGCTGGGCCCGTGGGAGGCTGTAGCCAGTGACGTGGCAGGGGTGTAGCCGGGCCCATGGGAGGCCGTAGCCAGCGGGGGTGTAGCTGGGCCCGTGGGAGGCCGTAGCCAGTGGCGGCACGTGGGTGTAGCCGGGCCCGTGGGAGGCTGTAGCCAGCGGCGGGGCGGGGGCGTAGCTGGGCCTGTGGGAGGCTGTAGTCAGGGCGGCGCGGGGACAGAGACGTGGAAAACTCGGAGATCTGCTGGTGTAATGCACTGGGTAGAAAGGGGAGTTGTTACTGATAAGCACCCAGCCGGGGCTGGGGGTTTCTGAGAACGGGTTGGACAAGTCCCGTCAGGGAGGGTCTCGGTAACAGTCATCCCTGCCTGAGCGCAGGGGGCTGAACTTGGTGAGCTCTCGAGGTCCCTTCCAGCGTGTGATCCCGTGGCTGGGGAGAGCCGTGCTGGAGCGCTGTCGGGGCTGGGCCCACATTTCAAAGGGGTGCTGAAGAAGGGGAGAGGGTGCAGAGCAGAGCCCCAGAAAGGATCTGAGGGCTGGAGCCTGGCCGGGAGAGGCACTCAGCCCCCGGAGGGGAGACTCGGTTAGCGTGTGGGTACTGTCCTGTGGACACCAGCCGGGGGACAGGTAGCTGAGAGAGTCCGGACAGGACCGATGGCAGGATGTTAAAACCCAGCTAACTCAGGGATGTGTTGGGCCCAAACTTCCAAGTGAGGGAGGAACCCGTGGAGCGGTGGGGTCTCCGTACTTGGCTGTCTCCAGAGCCAGGAGGGTACCTGCTGGAAGATGCTTGGCCAGTCCGGGCTAAGTGGGTGAGATGGGTGCTGGGGGTGCCATTGCACTCTACTGTTTAAATGGGGGTTCATGCCCCCCACTTGTGAGGAACCCCCCTTGGCCTCTGACTGGAGCAGAGCACTTCCCTTGGCCAGCTGGGTGGGCTTGGCCCCCCCACGTTCGCAGTCCCTAGTGTGCCCCTGGGTCCAGGCAGCCGGAGAGCAAGTGTCAAGGAGGCCAGGCGTGCGGGGAGGGGAAACCCAGCTGTTCCGATTGCCCTGCCGGTCGCCATGCTGCCAGCTGTGCCGGGACTCGTGTGGGCGGGAGTGCCGGCTCTGTGCCCTGCTCCTCCCTGGGTTCAGGGCAGGCTAGCCTGTGGCTCTAGGGAGGAGCCGCTGTGGCAGCGGGGGAGCTGTGCTGGTGCTGAGGGGTGGGACGGGGGCGGGCGCGGTCTCTGGCCTCCTGCCCTCTGCTCCCTTGGCAGCGGCTGGGGTGGGTGCGGGGCCGTGGCCCCTGGCCAGGGGAGGTCTGTGTGTGCAGGGCCTGGCTCCCGTTCCAGGGCAGGATCCAGCCCCGGAGTTTGTGGCACGCCGGCCGGCCGGGGGCCAGGTCTGGGCTTGCAGGCGCAGTGTGAGCGGAGGAGCTGAGCGAAGGTGCACGGAGCCGGAGCGCTGGGGCGGCTGACAGTCTGCGCTGCCCCGGCCGGGCCGGGGCGCGTCTGGGGCATGGGGCAGGGAGAGCCCAGCAGCTGACCATGGCTGAGGGCTGGCCGTGGAGCTCCCGGCCCGGGGCTGCGTGCCCCCGCAGGGCCGTGAGCATGTGCGAGTCGCTGGACCTGCGGGGCGACCCGGCGGTGCAGGCTGCCCTCACGGCCGCCCAGCAGCAGAAGAGACGGCCCAAGAGCCTGTGCTCGGTGGGCAACGGGCTAGGCCCTGGCGCCCTGCTGCTCCCAGCGCCCCCCGCCAGAGCCCGCAGCGGCTTGCTGGACTTCTTCAGGCTGCGGCCTCCCCGCCGGCGGGAGGAGGGGGGCCTGGCTCATGGGGCAGATGGGGCACAGCGCCTGCGCCCAGCCAGCATGACCTGCCTGCCCTCGGGGCGGCAACCGCCCGCTGCCGAGGCCTCGGGCTTCCTGCGGGGCAGCTCCCTGTGGGGCAGTGGGCGCTGGAACATCTTCCGGGGCAGCGACCGCAGCAGCGCCGGCCCCAGGAGGAACTTCAGCTCCCTGCGCAAGAGCTTCAGCTTCCGCCTGCGGCGCGGCCAGGAGCTGCGGCGCTCGGAGTCGGGGGGGCTGCTGCGCCCGCCGCGCCTCCGCACCAAGAGCGAGGGCGACGCCAGCTCCCTGCACACCTGCCCCAGCAAGCGGGACCTGCTGTACCCGGAGCTGGGGCGAGCCGGCGGGAAGCCGTGCTCAGGCTCCGGCCAGGCCGGCGGCCTCTGGAAACTCCTCACCAGCCGCTTCCGCAGGCGGGACCGGGGCAGCGCCGCTCCCCAGGAGCCCCCCCGAGGCACCGAGCCCCTCCTTGTGGCTGTGGGGGGCAGCCCGCTGCGAGCATTGGGTAAGTGCTGCCCGCCTCCGGTGCCGTGGGGAGGAGCCTAGGCTGCTGGGGAGGGGCAGGTGGGCTGGGCAGCCGGGGAGAGACGCCCTGGGCCGGGGGGCAGCGAGAGCCTGCCCCAGTGAGTGTGGGCTCAGGGGGGTGGAGAGAGCCGTCCCCAGTGAGAGCCCTGGCCTGTGGGGCTGTGGGAGGGGTGGTGAGAGCTTGCCCCAGTGAGGGCCCCAGGCCATGGTCACAGTTGCTGGGGGGTGACACATTTGGGCCCTTCTCTGCTCTGGGGCTGAAATGCTGGTTCCTGTAGCCCTGGTCTCATTGCCTGGCTCTGGCGCTGCCATAATGCGGATGGGTGAGAGCAGGGGGAGGGATGTTGTGTGTGTGGTGGGGGGGGGGAGGGGAGTGGCTGGATCCCACCTCCCAAGGGGAGTCTGCAGCGCTGTCGTCACAGGTGCTGAACGAACAGCGGCTCGTTTGGTCCCCTGGGCGCTCTCCAGGCAGAGGTGTCCCACCATCCCGAGTGGTTCAGCAGGAGCGGGCAGGGCCATGTAGCTGTGGTGAGAACGGGGGGCGAAGGGCATGGAGCACAAGGCCATAGGGAGGTTCTCTGGCTCGCGCGCCGGTTGGTGGGCTCTAGCAGGTCTGGCCACACGCGCTGAATGAGGTTCCTGGGCAGTGCCCGGGCTGGGGCTGGGCCTGACACACCCAGCCTGTCTCAGAGCTTCCTTCCCCAAGAAAGTGCAGGAGCCGCTCTGGGCATCTCCCTGACAGGGTCTGCGCTGGCCCCCTCTCCCTGGCAGCGGCTGGCTCACCCCCAGGTCCCAGCTGGGCAGAGCTGTGGCAGGGCAGTGCCATGGGCATGGGCGGACGAGGCCGTTCTCACAGCCTGCTTTTCCCTGGCCTGTTCTACATGAGTCAGACTGGACGGTCACAGGGGTCCCTTCTGGCCCGGGAATCTGATACTCCCCCTCGTCGCCTGTGGGGCCCTGGCAATGAACGACCACAAGGTCTGTGTGGACAGAAGCAGGTGCTGTCACTCGCTGTCTGTCCCACAGCTCGTGCCCCCTTGGGCCTGCTCCTCCCTCAGAGCCTAGGGTTCCTCTGGCCTGCTGGAGCCATGGCACGGAGCAGCCCCGGTGCTGACCCCGCCCAAGGCCGCTCTGACCCGGGTTTGGGCGAGAGGCTAGCAGTGACCTGCAGCCTCGCGTGTGCCCAGCCGGGAGTGGGGGTGGGAGGGGCGCCCTGACTGGGGTGGCGCTGGGCTAGGCGGAGGACAGGGGCTGCAGGTGGGCACATGCTGGCAGGTGGGCAGAGGCGGGGGGTCGGGCTGCTCTCACAGATGTGTCCCCAGCGGGTCAGGGCACCACGTTCGCCAGGCGCCTGCTCGGACCCAGGACTCCTCTGGTTTCCGTCCTGCTCTTGGCTCAGAGCTGCTCTCTCCTGTCAGCGACTGACTGGGACCAGCCCGGGGGCCTCGGGCCATTTCTACTCCCTATGCTCTGGGCAACCCTGGAGCCAGCTCTGGGCCTGGGAAGTGTCCCAAGAGGGAGCGGGCTAGAGCTGCCGAGCTGGGTGAGCAGCGAAGGGATGGCAGCATGGGCTGGGTCAGGCAGTCACTGGGGCTCTTATCCTGGGGGGCCCCTGGTGCAGACGCCATCACCCTCTGTGCTTCTCTCAGGGGAGGGGCTGGCTGGGCTCTTATCAGCACAGGCAAGCCCCAGTTCCCTGATGGTGCAGGTCTCCGGGCTCCCTGGGGCTGCATGCTGCCTCCTGGCATGTCCCCTGGCTGGAGCTGGTGGGTGCAGAGCTCAGTGCTGCTGGGCTCCGAGGCAGGAGGTTCCCAGGCTGCAGCGAGGCAGTGCTCATGGCTCAGGAATGTGGGTGCGTCCCAAACAGAGGAGGGTTTGGCCCCTTCCCTTGCAGCGGGGGACCTGTTACTACTTGCCAGCCGCCCCATGCAGAAGCTGCCTCCCAAACATGGCTGCGGCTTGGACCAGAGTGTGTGACTGGGGAGCCGTCTGCAGCGCCGAGGAACAGAGGATGAAGGAGGGAGCCCGTGAAACAACCCAGATCTCTCTATTAATGAGATCACCCCTTTGTTGGTAACGGTGTCAGCACAAGGATTTAGACGTCTGTAAGTCACTTGTTTTGGTCCCATGTGACATCTGGATTAAACATAGAACGATATAAAATTAACCTGGCACGCGTTCGATGGATTAAAAACTGGCTCTCAGAATGTAGCTGGGAATCATCCTGCAGCGGGTCTGTTTCTAGGGGGTCCCTCCAGTGTTGAGTGTTTTTATCAGTGACCTGGAAGAAAACATAAACTCCGCACTGCGGGTTTGCAGGTGACACAGACTGGGGTGGGGGGGTAAGGAAGAGGACAGGGCACTGGCAGAGAGATCGGGAGCACTTGCTAAACCAGGCACCAGTATCAATGTGCGTTTGAATACAGGCAATGTCAAGTCATACCTCTCGGAGTAACGGCTGTGGGCCATACGTGCAGGATGGGGGACCCGATCCTGGGAATCGGACTCTGACAAGGACTTGGGGATGGTACGCGTAGATAATCAGCTGAACATGAGTTTCCAGTGCGATGCGGTAGCTAGGGGCTAATGCAGTCCTAGGGACTCTCGGAGAGGAGAGGTGATTTTACCTCTGCCTGGCACTGGTGTGACCGCTGCTGGAATCCTGGGTCAGCACTCCCAGAAGGCTGTTGATAAATTGCAGCAGGTTCAGAGAAGAGGCCCAGGAGATGGTGATAGTGCCAGACTCACGGAGCCCAGTCTGTTTCGCTAACGAAGAGAAGGTGATCACAGTCGGTAAGTACCGACGTGAAGACCCGACAGGGCTGTTCAGTCGGTCAGACAGAGCTGGGCCCTGCGTGCTGGGAGGATGAATAGACTCCAGGTTGTGAGGCCGGAAGGTTTAGGCTGAGCTCCTGTGCAGGCCATAGGACTCCCCAGGATAATTCCGGTTGGAACTAGAGCTTAGCTTTACAAGGCATCCAGTCTTGATTTAAACAGTGCCAGTAACGGAGAAACCACCACAACCCTTGGTTAGCTGTGCAAAGCTGCCTGCCTGCTGTGACTCGCATGTGAGCACCCACCTCAGGGCAGGCTGGCAAGGAGCCGCGCACAAACCCACCCCGGCCGTGAGTTCTGTGCTTCGCGAGTGTGAACTCCTCAGGGACTGCAGCAGCCTGGCCATGGAGTCACCGACAGTCGCCTTGGTATCCAGTCTGCCTTAGCACCCAGCAGAGCCTGCCTGTGCTAGATGGACGGGTCCTCGCAATAGTCAGGTTACAGCCGGGTTAGTCTGTGTCAGTAAAAACAACGAGGAGCCTGGTGGGACCTTAGAGACGGGCATCTGATGAAGTGGGTTCTAACCCACGAAAGCTTGTGCCCAAATAAATGTGTTAGTCTCTAAGGTGCCACAAGGACTCCTCGTTGTTTTAGCAATATTCAGGTCAAAAGGGCCAGGTCAGTTGTGCCTTAGCGCTTACATCAAAAAGACAAGGCAATCCTGTAAAAAACTAGCGACAGACATGTTAACGAGGTAAAGGAAACGAGTTATTTACGAGGTTAAAGCAGGTGAACTAACACACACACCACACACACACACGAGTTTCAGTCTTAAGTTTCAAAAAGTAATAGAAGTGTCTAGAATCAGCAAGCCGTGTGTGACCTTTAGGGCTAGCCTAGGCTGAGCACGGGGGATCCCTTGTTTGTGCCTGGAATCTCCTCCCCCCCCCCCCCCCCCATGCAGCACAGAGATCCAGGAGTTTTTATTCCCCTCCTCCTGTGTGCTCTGAGCAGCAAACTCAGCTGACTGGAGGAGTCCCCTTGCACGACTCGTCCTCCTGGGAATGGGGGGGGAGGGCAAAACAACAAACATCTTTTGACCTCCCACAATTGTCGGACTGCTGTTGATGGCTGTTTCCTGTTGGGCAGGACGTAACGCCTCTGCTGGAGAGCAGCGCTGCGCGCTAGGTTAACGCCTCCTGTCTGGTGACATACACTGACACGGAGGCTCACAATACAACCGCTCAGATAACACCTCACGACACGGGGTACGGCCGTTCTAAGGGAGGTTAATGCCGGTCGCAGTTTACAAGCATTCCATACAGTCTGACCACTAGCCACGTTCTGTGATTCTGTTCTAACAATGCTAACACCAGGTGAGCCAGCTGGAGCCCGGTTAGGTATCTGTCAGTGCTCAGTGACACACAGGGTCCTTGGCAGGAGCTGGCACCTGGTCTGCCAGCGTCACAAGTTGTTCCACTGGTTCATTATCCTCACTGTCCAAAGATGTACACGTTCTTTGCAGTCTGAATTCGGCTAGCTTCAGCTTCCAGCCGCTGGATCGAGTCAGACCGCCCTCTGCTAGAGGAACAGCCCATTGCCAGGTGTTTGTTCCGCATGTCGGTAGCTGTAACTGATCAGATCACCCAGAACCTGCTCTTTGTTCACCTAGAGAGTGAGCTCTTCGAGCGTGTCGTAAGGCAGGTTTTCCAATCCTTCTCTAAACCCTCTGCAACGTATCCACATCCTTCTTGCACTGCGGACAGCAGAACTGGACACCATATCCCAGCACCAGTGTCAGACACAAAGGTAAAATAACCTCTCTGCTCCTCCTTGAGATTCCCGCTCTTACCTCCTAGGATGGCATTAGCCCTTTTGGCTGCAGTGTAGCACGGGGGGTACTCTTGTTTAGCTGATTATCTGCCATGACCCCCAAGTCCCGATTCCCAGGCTAGAGTCCCCCATCCTGTAAGCATGGCCATCATTCTTTGTTCCTGGTTGTATTATTTTACACGGGCCAGATTGAAATGCATATTGTTTAGTTGCTCCCAGTTTACCAAGTGATCCAGATCAGGCTTTGGTCTGTATCCTGTCCTCTTCATCATTTACCGCTTCTCCAATCTTTGCTTACAAACTTGGGTCAGTGATGACAAACATGTTAAACAACAGGGCCAAGAACCGATCCCTGTGGAACCCCACTAGAAA